GATGGTCAGTGTGCTCCCACAGGGGGAGCTCTGCTCAGCCACAAGCCAGGCTGACGGCTTCCAGTACAGCAGTGGTGATGGGAGCCTCTCCCACCTCCTCAGCAGCACTAAGGATGTCCGACTGCAGCTTAGACCTGTTCTCCGCTGGCAAGTGGACATTCCCCAAGGGCTGCCGGGCTGTCAGTGGGATGTCTGACTTCCAGCTTGGGCCTGATCCCCCAGGCAGTGGGCCTAAGCCAGCAGGTGAACATCCTCCGAGGGGTCCCAAACTGCAAGAGCGTATAGGCAGGGCTGAGGGATCCCCCCGAGTGCACAAATTTTTATGCACTGGACCTCTAGTATGTGTGTGTGTGTGTATAAAAGCTGATATGCAAAGTGTCCCCTCAGGAGTTTGACCCACCAGGAGTTCGTTCGCTCGCTATGATGTGCGCTGACCACCAGGTGGCGACGCACAATGAAGGAAGGCCCCAGCTGGCAGCTTCTAGGGACCCTACCTGTGCACGAATTTTGTGCACTGGGCCTCTAATTTGAATATAGTTGGATATTGAAGTATATAAGATTTTGTCTGCATGATAAAAAGGGGTTCTAAGCAAGTGAAACTTGCTGGTTAGGCACAAGAAGATACTAAGCCAGTGGAACTTCCTGGCTGGGAATGAGAAAGATGTGTATAAGCAAGATATTTGATAAGATATTTGCCTAATATTATTTCAGTGAGTCCTCACTTATCTGTGGGCCATGTGATTTCTTGTAAAGATATGGGCTATTAGTACTAATACTGTAGGGAGCTTGAGTTTTGTAGCCTCAGGTTGTCAGGGACCAAGTGACTAACATTTTTGCCTGAGATGGCCACTGATTCTGAACAAGTTAACAAGAAGAAAGCACATGTGGAAGCACACATTGAAGCTAACATGTTAAGTCAGGAACTTCCAAGTATTTGGTACAGTTTAAGCACATGGTCAGGAGAGCACTGAGCTATTTGCCTGAAAAGGTAAGTAACTTATATGGTCAGATCACAGTTTTAGAAATCTGAGTAGAGAGTACGGCCATAAAAGGTGAGAGGGCCACCAGGGGGATGTCAGTGTTTCAGTC